AACTTATCTAAACACGTAGTTTTTTTAGGAGCTCCATACATAGAGAGAAGAAAGCGAATTCCGTAAGCGATAACTTCGTGTGGAGTAGAATTACTGTTTTTAAAAACTTCAGCACACTGAACTAAATCTTGTTTTTCAAACATTATAAAAACTGTTGTTTTACCCCTCCTGAAAAATGCAGATGTCGTATCACAGCCAGTTATTGAATAGGAGACAGATGTTGCTCAAGGTTACACTGGCGTATAAAATGAGGGACTGGGTTTCTTTTTACCTGAAATTCTCATATTTATAATATTTTATGTATGTATAAGTTACACTGACCGATAGAATAATATTTTTACTTGTATTACAGCTTCAGTGATGTATAAACGTGGTGTACTTATACATATTACGACGATTGCAACTTTTCTAACTTTTTGAATCGTTATATCTCAGAAACGGTGGCTCTTAGGAAAAACATATTAGAAATTTTTTTATAGATTATCACATGCTCTACAATTTTTATCTAAACTAATTTTGTGATAAAATTTACCGTTTTGCTGAAAATCGCGAAAAACCCGTTTTTGTGACCTTTGACCCCAAGTAAATTTGTTCCAGGTGCCGGATTGATGAGGACTTTTTAGGTTTCATTTATAATGGTGTTTTGAACAATCCTACCAATTTTCAGCTGGGTGGGAATTTTTGTACCCTCACTCCTATTTTTTGGTTTAATTTGACCGGACTAGCGATGTCATATCAAATACCAATTGTTAAAAACATGTCTCAAACTTCTAAAGGAACACAAAGCTTTAAAGTGTAATTTTTTAATAAATTTGTATCATGAAATCGATATAACTTTTCGAGTGTCCTAATAATAAAGTCTCCTTTAATTTTATTATTAAATTAAAATGTCGATATTGTAAGATGAAAATATTGTAAGATGACGATATTGTAAGATATCAATATTGTAAGATACATATATGAAAATATTGTAAGATGACGAACTAAAATATTCCGTTCAACATGGTATTATGTTAGGATAGTTTGGAAGCCTCTGGAAGCTGTCTACAGGAAATCCACATAACAAAACTAGCTAAACTATGGTAGACAAGCAGAAAACGATAAGGCGCGATGTTGAAAGATGACGATATTGTAAAATGTTATTGTAAGATGATGATATTGTAGGATAGGGATATTGTAAGATAACGATATTGTAAGATAAGTAACTAAAGTATTCCTAAAACAGTATTGTGTTAAGACAGTCTAGAAGCTCCTTGAAACTGTCTACAAGAAGACCACATAATGAAAAAATCCAAACGATGGGAGTCAGTCGAGTATAAAATGTTTAAACAAATATAAATAATAAACATTCGCAACTCAGAATTTTAAGAAGCATTGCTGCTTCAGTTGGTTCTAGGTACAACTACAAGTAATGTGTTTGAGACCAAGTTTAACTACTTGTAGAACAGGGATAGAAAGCATTATTAATAATAATTAAGGTAATTTGATTGGATACCTGTAAGTCTTGTTGCACATCGGACAATTGTGCTTATTATTCTCCAGTTCGTTCGTATGTACTATCTTCATATGCGTCTTCAACGACTGACTTTGCAGACTCTTCCCGCATATTTCACACTGAACTCTATTCTGATCCATATGCCGTTCTGCATGCTTGTAAGCCGAATGTCTTTTTCTAAATATTTTATCGCATATGGAGCATTTGTATACGCAGTGATGGAGCATGTGCGTTTTGATTAGCTTCTTCGCCTCGCATTTGTAATCGCAAAAATGACATAAATACTGATTGTCGTCATTGTGAGTTATGGAATGATAAGCGTATTCTCTATTTGTCTTGAAACATTCTTTACATATCGGACAAACCAGTGGTTTGGACAAATCATCTAGGTTTACTACATTAGGGTTGATTTTCTTCATGTATTTCCGTCGAATTTTTTTCAGGGGCTTCTGTGATTTCCTAAAAAAAAATTATTTAATATAAAGGAAAAGAAAAAGAAATCTAAAATGTCTACTAAGATACATTAATAATATACAGTGATGTGTAAAGCAGAGTATACGTACTCTGTAAACTACGTAATAACTGATGCTTTTTAACCACTCGGTACACTCAGAGTAATACACTAAATCTAAATGGATACAATTCAAAATCGAAATTTCTCTTGTATGCGATTTTCATCTGATTCCACTTTGCACGTAATTGTTTTGCAACGCAAGTCATGTACTATACTTTTTCTAAAGAAAATTGTAGTTTTTGCAGTTGTTAATATTACAGTTATTAGTACTCACAATAATTTGTGTTTACACTAGTAATCGCAGAAAGTTTTTTTATATAAAACAATATTTGTGAAGAGGAGCTTTTTGGGTAGATAAAATGTGTTTTCTGTGAGTATAGAATCTCCTATTCAAAATTATCACTAGTGATGAGCGAGACTGGTCTTGGCCTTGCGGTCTTGGTCTTGCTTTTGTGCAAGACCAAGACCAATACCAGTTGAAAGCTTGCAAGACCAATACCAAGACCGAGTGTGCAAGACCAAGACCAAGTGGTGCAAGACTTACGCAAGACCAAGACTCTTGCGGTATTGCGTTCTTTAATTGTTGCCTGGAAATAAAAGGTAAGTAGATAAACATTCGTCTCGAAAAACTTTGGTTTTCGATATATAGTTATATATAGATATATAGAAATGTGTAAATTAATAAATATACATTTAAAGCCGTTTGTTTGTTCAATGCGAGATATTCGCCAGCCGTGGATTGCATAAAGCTAGGTTGCGAAATGTTATAATAATGTCACGTTTAAATGTCCGTATGCTTAAGTTATTTTCACCCAGTATTTTATGCCAGTATGTTATGCATCTATACTTTTTATTTTAATCCCATACGTCTGGAAGATCCAGGTTCAATTATCGGTCGCAGTTTTTGTTGATTTAAGGATACAATTTTTGTTTTTTATTGGATTGTTGGATGCAAAAAAAATATTTCAAATAAAAAAATACACAAAATATGTTAAATATAAATTGTTGGAAATTGAGCCACATATTTTATTTACCGTTTTTTTATAAACTACGATTCGAAAAAATTAAGCTTTTATTCTTTTTTCGTATTCAAGTGTACAGCATATAAAAATTATTAATTGACACATTTATAATTTTAATTTTTAAAACTGTTTACAGCTTTTTACATGCTGTACATTAAGTTTATACTTAAAAACAAAAAAATAATATTTTTGGAAACGTTTAATAAAAAAGGTTTGAATAAAAAATATATGTGGTTTATTTACAATTACAAACGACAAAGCTTTAGAAGAACTATATTTACTGTTTGCGTAGTAGTTTCTGATTTTATAATGTGCATTAAGCCTCTAATAGCAATAATTTATACAGTGTTTTCATTATTAACTACAAATAGAGAACACTTAGGTGATATCATAAAAACTCTTTTCGGTGCTGGAAAATGTTGTAAAATACTATAATTCACAGAACAACAACACGTTTTTTGTGTACAAAGTAGCAGTATTTAAGATTTACCAAAAAATGCACGAATCACAAGATTCTTGCAGCAAGATCAAGACCAAGACCTAGCTGTGCAAGACCAAGACCAAGACCGAGTGTGCAAGACCAAGACAAACCCGGTCTTGGTCTTGTTTTGCTCATCACTAAATATCACACCACTAGGAAAGTTTATGATTGCTACGCACGCCTCTGAATTAAAAATAAATGTTTCTAAAGTAATCTATAGCAAAAAATCCTTTTTTAGATAACAATTTGATTTTAATTCAGAAGCGTGGATAGTTCTCGTACCTCAATCTTTGTCGGCCTTGGCGTACTTTGAAAACTTAATTTTTAGATCACTCGTTATATTGTGGATCAATTTTAGTACTGCCTCATGCCGAAACTAGTTACCACGTGGTGGTTTCAATGATAAGGACTTTATAAGTGATAAATGATAATTTGGAACAGAAGTTTAATATATCATATTTTATTCCAATCGAACAATAAATACATGTCATCAAAATAAATAAATAATTTCAAAAATTTATAAATACCTATCTATTAACTATTCCATATTTTTTTAATATTTGTACAGTGAACTTGCAATTATTGAAAAATTGGGTTTTAATCCATCCGTTAAATATATAATACTCTCTAAAAAAGGTTTTCTTGAATTAAACAAACAGTGCTGAATCTGAGAATTCTTTGAAGGTAGTCAAGATTGGATTTGTCCACCCCCTTCCACCAAGAAAAAAATGTAAAAATGAGTATTTTAGTAGTGAATGTTTGTAAGTTTATTTAAAGTAGGTATTAGTATACTATTCAACTAACCAAACTTTTTTATAGTATAGCTTTCGTTGTTTATTTCGGAATTCACTTGTTTTGAAATTCTCAATACAGAGGACTGCCAGGTTTGACAGTCTTTCTTGAGTAATTGATGACCTTAGTAGTTTTCTGTCTAATTGTAAACAAGAAATCATAATCTGCTGACAAAATGACAAAAATATCGCATATCAATTTTTTAAGGGGCGAAACTCACTTTTTTATATATGATTACCTCTAAAAAATCCTGTATATTCGCTGATTTGGTTGATCGTATAAATCTTTTCAGCCGCTCTTTTCTAAGCAAGCAATATTAAGAACCTTAATTATTTCACTTTATTATATACGTTGTTTTACCTTTAATGTATATAATTGGCTTTCTATATAAACCTATGGGTCTACTTAAATATTTTTCCGAATAAATTGTTTAATATCATTCAAGGAAACATTATAACTGCCGCAATTTATTGACTATAATATATAAATGTTCTCAAAGTTTACATAGGTATGTTTGCCATTCTAAGTACGACAATTAATTATAGGCACAGGAAGTAGTGATAAAATGTAACTGTCATTTTTTTGTGAAAAAAAGGCTAAATAAGTGTCCATATTTTTTTGTTATATTTACACATAATTGACTGGAAAAACTAAATCTATTTATGTAACAAACTTTATAAAATAACTTTATCAAAGAACTTTATCAAAGAACTTTATCAAAGAACTTTATCAAAGAACTTTATCAAAGAACTTTATCAAAGAAATTTATCAAAGAACTTTATCAAAAAACTTTATCAAAGAACTTTATCAAATAACTTTATCAAAGAATTTTATCAAAGAACTTTATCAAAGAACTTTATCAAAGAACTTTATCAAAGAACTTTATCAAAGAACTTTATCAAAGAACTTTATCAAAGAACTTTATCAAAGAACTTTATCAAAGAACTTTATCAAAGAACTTTATCAAAGAACTTTATCAAAGAACTTTATCAAAGAACTTTATCATAGAACTTTATCAAAGAACTTTATCAAAGAACTTTATCAAAGAACTTTATCAAAGGACTTTATCAAAGAACTTTATCAAAGAACTTTATCAAAGAACTTTATCAAAGAACTTTATCAAAGAACTTTATCAAAGAACTTTATCAAAGAACTTTATCAAAGAACTTTATCAAATAACTTTATCAAAGAACTTTATCAAAGAACTTTATCAAAGAACTTTATCAAAGAACTTTATCAAAGAACTTTATCAAAGAACTTTATCAAAGAACTTTATCAAAGAACTTTATCAAATAACTTTATCAAAGAACTTTATCAAAGAACTTTATCAAAGAACTTTATCAAAGAACTTTATCAAAGAACTTTATCAAAGAACTTTATCAGAGAACTTTATCAAAGAACTTTATCAAAGAACTTTATCAAAGAACTTTATCAAAGAACTTTTTCAAAGAACTTTATCAAAGAACTTTATCAAAGACCTTTATCAAATAACTTTTTTAAAGAACTTTATACAAGAACTTTATGAAAGAACTTTATCAAAGAACTTTAATAAAAAACTTTACCAAAAAACTTTATTAAAGAACTATATGAAATAACTGTATCACAGAACTTTATTAAAGAACTTTATTGAAGAATTATATCAAAGAACTTTATCAAAGAACTATATCAAAGAACTATATAAAAGAACTATATCAAAGAACTTTATCAAAGAACTTTATCAAGGAATTTTATCAAAGAAAGCTATAAAAGAACTTTATTAAAGAACTTTATCAAAAAATGTTTTGAAGAACTTTAACAGAGAACTATATAAAAGAACTTTATCAAATAACTTTACCAAAGAACACTATCAAAGGACTATAACAAAGGAATGTATCAAATAATTTTATCAAAGATACCAACAATGGCCCTATTGAATTATAATATTTTTATGTCAAACAAATTTATTTGATTGAAGAAAACCTTTTTCTCAAAGTGTAGACGAACCTCAAGAATATAATTGCTTTTATTTATGTTTCTAATTATTTATTGTTCTCTACACTAACGATTAATAAATTACAAAAGAAAAACCTTTTCTAGATTTTGGTGTAAGAATGTCATTTTCCCGCACGCAAAATCGTTGAGGAATGAAACTCATTCCTAAACGATTTTTGGTGACTTTTTTGTGACATTTCAGTTGACATTCACTAATAACTGCTAGTGGAAAGGGCTCGTAAATCTAAGGGCGTTGCGACATAGTCTTCCATCTTGGACGCTATTTTTATTTGAAATAGTAAATATTATTTTTATTGTGTTCGACATAATGGATTTAAATTAAATCCATTATTTATAATTTGACGTATCTATATCTGTGACGTGTGGAGAGTGAGTTACATCCAGACGGCACTTAGGCCTGACTAGGTCAATTGTGCATCCTCCTAAGATGATAGGCACCTTCTATCTCGTGAGCCAGCCTACATATTTAATGTAGTTGGCAACGTCGCCAAGAGGTGCTTCTCTTATATCGGCCGGTGTTAGCCGATACTCGCCGAAAACAAATCTCCTAATAAATGAGAGCGTCGAGTAATCGTAGAGGATATGCTCGATGGTCTCATATTCTTGTTTGCACCCTCTGCATAGTGCGGATTCTGACAGCTCCATGATATAGAGATGACCATTTAGAATGCCTGCGATAAGGCGCAGATTATGTCTAGTCCATAGGCGCCGAATCCTCGGGGCTCTGGGTGCGCAAGCACCCAGAGCAATTTTAAACTGGGTGCGGAGCACCCACAGCCCAACGTTGACAAAAAGTGCCCATCAGTGAAATGAAGAAGATGTCGTGGCCCAAGTTGGTAGAGCAACAGGATGCCTTGATGCGGCATCAGTTTTTCATTGGCTGTCAGAGTTGTGAGCTGTGATGTTGCAGGTCGCGATAATCCTAATGCTAATGCAAAATATTAAAGCTTCTTTCTTAAGACCCAACTCAACTTTTTTCTTAATTTAGAAAACGATTTTTTATTCGAAGTAATACAAGACGTCACTTTAAATTTCTATCTCTTAATGTAAGAAATTCGTAACACGATGAGTTTAATAAAACGTATGTCTCGAATTAGCACTGTTGCGTTTTAGCTTTTAAATACTACAAAAAAATGGTGAAAAGTCCATAACTTTTAAATATTTGTTAAATATCACTCATTAAAATATTATGCATAAAAAGTAAAACAAACTATAGACTTTCCACTATTCTTTACCGTACTCTGAACCCATTTTAAAAAGACTTTCTGAAAATATTACCGTTAGGAGCTGTATTTTTTGTGATAACAAAGTCGCCGTCTCTTGTCATTGAAAAACGCGTTGAACTTGGACTTAAGAGTTTATTATCCTTGGTGTATAAAACCCTATGACGTCAAAAAAGAACGACTAATAACAGTCTACAATTATCAAGACAAAAGCTCTGTACATATGTACATATGTTATCGAGCAGAAGCTTAAGGGGAGAAGGGATAACATGTGGAAGTTGCTCCAGATCATCAAGCACCGTTAAAAAAGAACGTTCATTTAGAGTCGGAAACAGCTCTCTGGTAGTGCTCGCGAGTAATCCAAGTAATTTACTAAAAAACACTCGAACCCTTCAATTTTTGATTATAAGGGGAAACATTTTTTTGGTAGTTTCACCCCCTGAACTGAAACCCTCTAACGGGGGTGAGACTCACCCCTAAAACCTTCAAGAAATGAGGGGTCGAATGATATCTTATTTTGACGGTTTTTTTATCAAGATTATAACCCCAGAGTTTTACATCGCTACAAAAGTACAAAACCGGTTTAACATAATTTTTATATTGGTATTAAAAATAATTTTTTTGTAACAATTCTAGTTTTATTCCTGTGGCCTTCAATTATTGTTTTTAGGTGACATTTTTTGGTCGCCGTAAAGTAGTAAGGTTTAGTTTATGTCGTTAGAGAGTCGGCATAAAAGTGGCATATCAGTGATAATGGTTTACTCAATTGCTAAGAGGGTGCAAATAATTTCACTTTTTTTGGGAACAATGAATGTGCCAATAGAACTGCCCAACTGTTTAACAAGTCCAATGAAAGTATATTTTGGAGTTAGTTTAAAAATTTTGGGAAACGGGTTCAGTAGCTAACAAAAAACGTGAAATGGAAAATGTAGTAAATGAAGCTACAGATTTGGCGATTTTAGGGCATATTGTTCAAGAACCCACATTGGGTACAAGCCAGTTAGCGATAACATCTGGTATTAAGAGAAGTAGCATTCAGAAGATATTGAAGAAACACAAGTTTCATCCCTACAAAATACATCTGGTACAAGAACTTAATGAAGACGATTTTGATAGGCGATTACAATTTTGTGAAATTATGACAATACTGGCAATAAATGATCAGCAATTTCTTTTCAACGTGTGTTTTTCTGACGAATGAATTTTTTCCTAAATGGTACGGTAAAACGTCACAACTGTCGTTATTGGTTCGATTCAAATATCAGAATATTTCATAAAGTGGATACGCAACATCTAGAAAAACTGAATGTTTGGCATTTTTGGTAACCGTATAACTGGCTTCTTTTTTACTTGGAACTTTAACCGCAGAAATATATCTGGAATTATTAGAAAACGCCATTTATCCAGCATTACTAGAGTTGAGAATGACGATCAGTACATAGCAAACAACTTAATATACCAGCAAGACGGTGCGCCACCCCATTTTGCACTGACTGTTCGTCAGTATTTGGATCAAACGTTTCCAGGTCAATGGATCGAAAGAAGAGGAAGTTTGAGTGGCCCCCACGGTCTCCGAATCTAACCCCATTAGATTTTTTATGGAACCACCTAAAAACTAAAATTTATGATACCCAGCCAACATCACTGGAAAATCTGCGACAACGGATAATTGATGAATATCATCAAATCATGGCTAGGAAGACATTTATTACTCGGGGGTTATAATCTATGTAAAAATACTTTCAAAATAAAATATCATTCGACCCCTCTTTCCATTTAAGATTTTAGGGGGTGAAAATGGCAAAAAAATGTTTCCCCCTAAACTCAAAAATTGACGGGTCCGAACGTTTTTTCGTAAATGACCTGAGGTGCCAAAAATTGTTTCTTTTTCGTTTTCAAATGTCAACCCTGTATATATACAATACTCCATTATATGTGTATTAATAAATCATCAAAAATCTCCTTCTAAATTCATGATAGATAATAAATGTTTTATATTGCGTTTCTATTTATTTCATTGGAACTCCCATCTGCCGCTTCAATCCTCAAAACTCCAGCAAATCGGCATTTAACAATACCTTTCTTTTCCAAGAACATTTTCATAAAATCAATGCTTTAAACTGGCTTTAAAAAAACCGGTGGTGACCCTAAGTGGGTTGTGGTGGGGGAGGGGGGAGTCCCCATTTCTCACATAGAGGCCGGGCACCCAAAGCAATTTTTGAGTACCGGCGCCTATGGTCTAGTCATATTCAAGTATTTGTTTGCTGCAGTGTTGTCAGGATAACTTAAAAGCTCCCCGGCAACTCTGCAGTTTCTTGTTTCATCCCATCTTTCCTTAAATTTCACAAGAGAATGTTCTTTAATTAGGTCTGTCACTACCGATTTTATCAGGCCAACAGAAGGGCCAGGTCCAAAAAGTATTTGGTTGGCTGCTTTCTTGGCTCCTGTTATGTTGAGACATGCTGTTCTTTGAATTTGTTCTGTTTTCTAAATGCGAGTTCCACGTTAACTTGCTGTCAAAGGTGAGACCTAGGTACTTCATCTCTGATGCAATGTTTAGTTTTCTGTTTAGGAGTTCTGGAGGTTTTAATTCCATTTTCATCATTTTCCTTGTGAAAAGGGCTATTTCAGTATTCTCAGGATTGATAAACAGTGAATATTCCTTGCACCACTGTTTTATAATTTTAAGAGCTACTTGTATTATTTTGCAGAGTATGTTCTCAAAATTTCTTGTTTTGCAGAATGACCAGGTCATCTGCATATGCTATTGTGTAGTGACTGTCATTATTGTAGATAGACTGTCGCAACCCTTTAGTCATACCAAATCTTATTACTGCGTTTCATTTGTTTGGAATGCCTGATGTTTGTTAGTAACTAAGTTTTACCAAATGACATATTTTGCAAAAAAATCACCAACTAACAACGACAACAAAAATAAAAAAAAAATAAAAAAAAACAGTAAATAAAGCCCAAAATCAAGAAAATAGTATAAAACACGTTGCAGAAAGCTTTTCTCTAACTCATTCTTTCGTCCACTCGCTCTTTCGTCGCTCGTGGCCAAATTTCAAATTCGTGCGGTAATATGTGGGCTTCTGCAACTTGTACTTTAATATACTATTCCTACACACCATTGTGAAAAAAGGTTTTTCGAATCACATTATAGCTCAACAGTCTCTTCTTTCTTCTAGTGAAGAAGACTAAAATATATGTTCCCTATTTATATAGATAATCAAAAAGCAAAATTTTTATCTAATTTGTACTTTGCAATTCCATTTTAAAAACTTTAACGCTAACATCATCAACATTAACA